TGGAAGCAAATGGCTATTTAACCAAATCTTCATTACAACCATTCGTCCCATGATTACAGCCACGAGTTGGTTACGTGGTGTCCCGATTTTCGAAGATGTGGGTAGGATAACACGTTGTTTTATGAGGGCTGTGAACGCGCTGTCAGACTAGATAGGTGTCTTTTTTGTTGTTGTTGTTCCGTTGCCCTCCCCTGCCAGAAGATATAACAAAATAGAGAGAGATGAAAGAAAAATCCACAAGCGTTTTATTCGTTTGTTGCTTAAAAAGGTGGTGTACGTAAAACGAAAAAAAAAAGACGTATTCTTTTTCAAGAAAGTAAGAATGCGGTCCGCGTTTGTTGAATGTATTGGCGTCCAGCCAGGGAACACGCCTCCCATTCAGGTTTCCGTGGTGTAGTGGTTATCACGTGCGCCTCACACGCGCAAGGTCCCCGGTTCGATCCCGGGCGGAAACATTTTTTTCTTTTTTAATCTTATGCTTGATGATGATAATGAATCAATAATTTTTGGATCCTACCTTGTTGGCAGTGCACGGAGGCACCAGACGCGGTGGTTCTCTAGCTGCGGGACCCGTATGTATCCAGCTGCTCCTGTCCGTCAGTGCAAGCTAAGCCAAAAGCACATTACCACATTATCATTCTTTATGCTTTCTTTTTTCGTTACGTGTTAGAGAGTGACGTTTAACAATAGACTGGTAGACTTTTTTTTTCCTTTCAGAAGTGTTAACATTGTTTTACGCCTTCAGAGGTTGATTAATTCACGAAACAATAACTAACATTATTTCACCAGTAGGGCGTCAAAACTAAAGTGAACCCTCAGCGCGTTCTCGGTGCGGAAACAACTTTTGTTCGATCGGTGTTCGCAACACTTCAGTTGGTTGAACTGCATGATTTTAAATATGTTTATTCAGATTTTTCTGTAGATTTCAATCCTCTAAGTATTTCTTAAAAGCTGTATTATAACAAAAGGTATGAAAATTTTAAGACATGTATTTAGCCCATTTCTTAGGGTGCTTTTCAGCAGCATTGCTTTCCTACGCTACAGTTCACGCTATCCTACGCGAAAACAAAGCGTGTGAGAACATTTCGAGAGAAATGGTATAGCTGCAGGGTGGTGCCAATTTGGTTGTTTTTGAGCGAACTTCGATTGCGAAATAAAAAGATGCAGACATGAGTGAAACTTTCCTTGCTGCGTACAAATTACTGAGAATTATACTTTGGTGAACGACATTATGAGAAAGTAAACATTATCACCGCCCCACCATCTTCTAGCAATATTGTCCCACCGCGGTGGTCTAGTGGCTAAGGTACTCGGCTACTGACCCGCGGGTCGCGGGATCGAGTCCCGGATGTGGCAGCTGCATTTTCGATGTAGGCGAAAATGCTGTAGGCCCGTGTGCTCAGACTTGGGTGCACGTTAAAGAACCCCAGGTGGTCAAAATTTCCGGAGCCCTCCACTACTGCGTCTCTCATAATCATGAGGTGGCTTTGGGACGTTAAACCCTACATATCAATCAACTTCTAGCAATATTGAAGGTACCCATAGTGGCCACATATCTTGTTTTTATGTTTCACAAAGCGAAGTTGCCGAAAGCCCACAATAATTACGCTGAATTATTCTAGTTTTCCCTCTCCTTCTCATTTTAGTCATGGCATATATATTTTCATAATGCTTCTGTCAAAAAATCTACCAGAAGATTTGGAATCTGCAGGAAAACTGAATAAGCACACCAAATTCCATTAAGTTCACCTAACTATTAAAAACGCGTCTGTGACGTCATCAGTGTGAGATCTGCCTGGAAGCTGGATTCACTCAAACGACCGGCACACGTTCGCGTTTTGTCGTTCCGCGGCCCAGTTGCACTCGTAGCATTTTTTTTTTCTCAGAGATTTACACCTTGAAGCAGGCCCGTGGCTAGGGGGGAGGGGTTAGGAGGCCCCCTTCCCCCCCACGAAATCCGGATGGAGGGAGCTGTTTTACTGAGAATAAATAGTGAAAATAGGGGTTTGTCAAGGACTTCAACAGGTGCCAGTCGCGTCCATGCGGTTCTTTGGTCGGCGTCCATCGGAAACTGATAGACGCGCGCTTTAGGTCCATGAGCATAGTTAGAGTTGCACCCCGGTGCACAGCAGCATCCAGGCGTAGTTTACCCAACCATGCTCACACAGCACAAGAGAAAGAAAAAACAGCGTGAGCGGTAACAAAATGCAACTAGCCTACAACCACAACAGCCAGCAGAGCGAGCACGGAGGAAGGCCTTTCCTTCCTCCGCCTTTTCTTCCTCCGTGAGAGCGAGCGAGCACGTAAGATCAATGTGGCCAGACGCACTGTCATGCGCTGCCAACTTCGCTCGGCTGTGCACAAAAATGTTTAAAACGTTAATAAATTAAGTAAACAAGTACATCATTTGAAAGATAGTATATTGCTAAGCTTTTTTTGTCAGACAGTAGGTAATAATTTTCTACAGTTTGCCTACTGAAAACTTGTTTCGAAGCAAAAAAGATTGTCTATTTGGCGAACAGAATCCGCAAGCCATTCCAACCTCAGCCAGTCGAACATTGCTTTCTCACAGATCTCACAGCAGAGACGTCACACTGACGAGACGGAGGCTTGCCGAGGCCTTTAAAAACAATCTAGGTGGTGTTGACCAGACAGGGGCGGTTGTCTAGCTGCGGGACCCGTATGTATCCAGCTGCTCCTGTCCGTCAGTGCAAGCTAAGCCAAAAGCACATTACCACATTATCATTCTATATGCTTTCTTTTTTCGTTACGAGTTAGAGAGTGACGTTTAACAATAGACTGGTAGACTTTTTTTTTTCTTTCAGAAGTGTTAACATTGTTTTAGGCCTTCAGAGGTTGATTAATTCACGAAACAATAACTAACATTATTTCACAAGTAGGGCGCCAAAACATAAAGCGAACCCTCAGCGCATTCTCGGTGCGGAAACAACTTTTCTTCGATCGGTGTTCGCAACACTTCAGTTGGTAGAACTGAATGGTATTAAATATCTTTATTCAGATTTTTCTGTATATTTAAATCCCTTCAGTATTTCTTAAAAGCTGTATTATAACAAAAGGTATGAAAATTTTAAGACATGTATTTATCCCATTTCTTAGGGTGCTTTTCAGCAGCATTGCTTTCCTACGCTGCAGTTCACGCTATCCTACTCGAAAACAAAGCGTGTAAGAAGATTTCGAGAGAAATGGTATAGCTGCAGGGTGGTGCCAATTTGGCTGTTTTTGAGCGAACTTCGACTGCGAAATAAAAAGATGAGTGAAGCTTTCCTTGCTGCGTACAAATTACTGAGAATTATACTTTGGTGAACGACATTATGAGAAAGTAAACATTATCAACATCCCACCACCTTCTAGCAATATTGTCCCGCCGCGGCGGTCTAGTGGCTAAGGTACTCGGCTGACTGACCCGCAGGTCGCGGGATCGAATCCCGGCTGCATCAGCTGCATTTTCGATGGAGGCGAAAATTCTGTAGGCCCGTGTGCTCAGACTTGGGTGCACGTTAAAGAACCCCAGGTGGTCAAAATTTCCGGAGCCCTCCACTACTGCGTCTCTCATAATCATGAGGTGGTCTTGGGACGTTAAACCCTACATATCAATCAACTTCTAGCAATATTGAAGGAACCCATAGTTGCCACATATCTTGTTTTTATGTTTCACAAAGCGAAGTTGCCGAAAGCCCACAATAATTACGCTGAAATATTCTAGTTTTTCCTCTGCTTCTCATTTTATTTATGGCATATATATTGCCATAATGCTGCTGTCAAAAAATCTACTAGAAGATTTGGAATCTAGAAAAACTGAATAAGCACACCAAATTTCATTAAGTTCACCTAACTATTAAATACGCGTCTGTTACACGCCGATAATTTTTATTTATTATTTTTCAACATTGTCACTCTCTTTCAAGTTCATAGCAGGTGAGCGTACAGGTTATAAAAGAAAACAATAATAGAAATGTAGACCAGGAATTCAAGAGCTATGGAAGTCATCAAAAATGAATGCAATGTAATTGTCACCATGAAAACTTCAAATCAACGCACTAACGTACAGCCTTGTAATTTTTTTAACAATATCAAGCGAGCCCAGAGCGCAGGATATGGTAACTAGTAATATTCTCGTAAAGTAACGAGATCTGCCGACAATGTCCAAGCACACTAAACGCCCTGAACTTCGAGCGCCGTCAGCAGATACGCTGTTTCAGATGTTTAAGTAATCTTGAGTGCGGCATGTGCACCACCACTTGCCCCCCCCCCCCCCCCTCTTTCCAGCCAAACAATGGGTTTCTTCGCGACGTGGGAGGTGCACTGTGTCTTGACGTCTACTGGCCGCTGTTCTAATAAAGTCTTCTTTTTTTATCTTTCTTCCCTTCTTTCTAATTCAAGGCCGTACGGCTGGTTTGTACAACAGTGAAATCGCGGCTGAAAGTAGACTCGCACCACGTGAACTGCACTTTTTATTTTATTGATATGTGGGTTTAACGTCCCAAAACCACTATATGATAATGAGAGACGCCGCAGTGGAGGGCTCCGGAGATTTCGACCACCTGGGGTTCTCTAACGTGCACCCAAATCTGAGCACACGGGCACTACAACATTGCCGCCTCCATCGGAAATGCAGCCGCCACAGCCGGGATTCGATCCCGCGACCTGCGAGTCAGCAGTCGATTACCTTAGCCACTAGACCACCACAGCGGGGCTGAACTGCACCTTTTCTTTAGTTGTTAGATCTGTCATATAAGGAACTGCATGTCGCAAAAATCTGACGACAACACTATGAATGTAGGCAGATTTTCTTTCGGGGGGGGGGGGTGGGGTGGTTGAGATGAGGGGTTTCACACTTGTTTGCGTATGTCAGTGCGTGTTTATGAGTGTACGTGTATGCACACATACGTGTTCATAATAAAAAAAAACTTTTAGGGTGCACTGATACATTCTGTAACATTAAGCAACAGCTATTTCACCCTTTGTGTCCTGTTACGCAGTGCGGCATCCAGCGGAGTTACCCTTGCTGCGGGAACATGGTGTGCTGGCGCGGGCGATGCATCAACAAGAAAGAGGACCGGAAGGGTTACGTCTACCCGCCGGACAACTACTTCCCGCCCCCATGGTACTTCCAGAGGTTCGTGCCCGTCTACCCGGTCAACTTCAGGCCGTGAAAAGATGTCAACCACCGTCACGGCAACCACGGCATGCCGTATATGCAGGATCATCGTTTCTCTGTTCTGAGCTTGAATGCTCTTCCAAACAGTATACGGCGTGCTCCTATAGATGTCTATGTGATTGTCGGAGTTGAGGAAGTCACATTTGTGTGTGTGAGCACGCGAATGGGTTTGGCGTGTATGCCTCACTATGTATAGCTCAAATTGATGAGATATTGCGAGAGTTTACCATCGCGATTCTGTATTTTACATAAAGGATACAAAACTAAAGTAAATAAAATAAAATAAATCAAAGGACATAGTTTTTCTTGCACGTTTCTTTTTTTTTGTTAATGTATACAAAATTTCATACCACATTAAAGGTTTCCATGGAAACTGGTTTTCATTTCTCTATATCGAACTTTGTTCACCCATGATTTTTATTGTCTTATTTGGCTTCTGTGACATGCAACTAAAGAAAAGAACTCAAAGGTTTCCTTGTGTATTCGCCTAAGAGAACCCGCAGACAATCTTCCTTTCTTTCTCGGTCAACGTATTGGTTCCCGCAACTTCCTCCGAAAGCTTTTTCCTCTGCAGTACCGGAGGCAGGTGCGTAGCCAGAATATTTTTTGGGGGGGGGGGGGGGGGGGAGGTTCAACTATACTTTAGGTATGTTCATGTGTGCGTTTGTATGTGTGCGTGCGTATATACATAAGCAAAATATAAAATTTTCGAGAGGGAGATGTTAAATCCTCCGCCCTCCCCCCTCCCGATCTGACAATTTTCATTTTTGGTGACTTTACAAAGGCCTAAGTCGTCAATCTCTCGATTAATAAGGCTGTAAAAATGAAAAATCACAACGTACACGCACCAGCAGTACATACTTTCCGTAGTAATTGCTCAAGATCATCATTGTAAGCATAGCATATACATGATCACCATTTGTAATATACAAGTGAGATTTAACTGTTCTTTATTGCATCATTATTTGCACCTCCCGTGTGGATTCCTTTGTAACAACAAGCGTGCTATTTTGCAATATTAGTAACACGCACGCACACACACAAGCATATGAAACGGAGTATGGAGCCGGACAAGCAGTGGAGAAGGAACTTGACGAATACTTTATTTCTGCAAACCTAATTGATGTGCTGACCAAAAAAAAAAAATATACAAGCAACACTGAAACAGCTATCGCAATAAAATGGCTGATCCACGCATGTGTAAGGTTGCGAAGTGAACAAATTCATGAAAAAGTATTGTTTTCGTGTCACTTATTCCTTTCTTCTCTCTCTATCAGGAAACTAGCATATAGCTTTTCATAGGGAATCATGATCCTTGTAAAACACATACGCACAGCACGTATTCAATATGGAATCTCAGGTATAATGTACATCACAATTATCATCAGTTTGGCAACGCCCACTTCAGGGTAAAGGCCACCAACTCCACCGATCAACTCAGTTTTATGCTTGCCGCTGCTACATTATACCTGGAAACTTCTTAATCTCATCTTCTCACCTAATTACCTGCCTCCATCTCAAGCGTCTGCCTTCTCTTGGAATCCAGTCGTTATAGCCTGCCTGCACGCTACGCGTATTGGCAATACCGATTTCTTCTTGATTTCGACTACGATGTCCTTAACATCCGCTAGTTGCCTGACCCACCTTGCTGTTTTCTTGTGCCTTAAGGTTGCATCTAAAATTTTCCTTACCATTTATGGCTGCATCATACTGCATTTAAGTTGAACCCTCTATGTAAACCCACAGGTCTGCTCTGCACTGTAGGTATAAGTATGAATGCCGGCAAGATGCAGCTTTTATACATCTTCCTCTTGAGCGATATTGGTAAACTATCATCCATTATTAAGAATGCTTACTACATCCCATTTATAATTCTAGTTATTTTACTTTCAAGGCTCAGCTCCATGGTTACTAACTTTTCTAAGTCATTCACAACTTACAGTGCCTGGCTACCTATCGCAAAGCGCTGGTGTCTTTCCAGACTGTTTGTTGCACATTAATTTATTTTTAGACATAACAATTTGCAGACATGCTGTTCAATTTTGAGACCTTCATGTAAAAAATCATTAACAATGAGTTGTAATTCATCCCCACAGTTACTTATCAATGAAATGTTCTCAGTGATTCGCAGCTCCCTAAGATACTCTCCATTTACTCGTATCCCTAACTCTTCCTTATCTATGGATACATCGACTGAAAAGAAAAAGAAGGCTATCAACTTTCGCTTTTCAGTCAGTCTACTCTGGAGTTAACCCACACTTTCTCGCGTATGCTTCCCATACCAAAGCACCTGTGCCCCCGACGTCATCAATCAGTAGAACGACAGCTTCGTCTTTCAAGCGCAGTCAACGAAAACTTCGTCTGATAATTGTAGTCCGTTGACAGTACCGCTAGTTTTCGAGTCAAATACTCCCCGACCGAACACTTCCTCTTTTTTTTTCCTGTTAGCCACGAGAATCGGCGAACAGTCCACAGACGTCGCCGGAGGCCACCCGCATGCTTGCTCGGCATGTCCTGCCTCAGTTCCTTCCAGGTCGGGCTTTGTGGGCGCGCACAATGGCACGTTCGCGAATCGTTTATGACCGGCCACGCGTCATTCGTCACTCTGCGAGGACTTTACTGGGAGCTGCCAAATTCATCATGATCATCCGAAAATGACATTTCCTGAATAGGTTGGCCGGGCAGTCCACCGTGGCGCCGCGATTCGACTCGGGCATTTACCGTCGGCTCACCGTCCCATCGTACGGACGAAGCGTGGACACCCATCGCGGAATATTTTACAGCGCAACGGGTTAGGTACGGACTGAGAAGGGACACAGCGATGAACATTTAGAGCGTCGAAGCATGGATAAGCGTACTTTCAAGCGTAGCAAATCACTTAAGAAGGGGAAGAGGGGCGGGGAGGAGTCGGAGCCACTGGGAAGTCAAGTATACGGAGATAAGCGAGATTCCTGTAGGGGTCCACGCGGATGTATACGTGGAAAACGTCGATACACGACGAGCGTCGAACGCGTCTATGACGAGACACTGGTGCGTGGGAACGACTATTCCGGGTGAAAGGAGTGCATTTCACGAGCGCATTTCTTTGAGTTAAAGCCCTGGGAAAATAACTAAACGGGTCGCAGAATGTCTGGTCTGTCTTGAGAGGGCTTACATTTAAGCGAGCCAAAGTGTTTCTGCCAGGAACGTATGTGGCAATGTTTTGCGAGGGGGAGGGGTGAGGGGCACCTTTTTTAAAGTTTTTTTTTTCTTACTCTGTAATCCGTGGTGAAAAAAAAATTGGCAGATGCACGTATACAGTGGGAATCGATGCTATGCGAAGCACAAATGAGGAAGGGTGATATGCCATTTAAAATCAGCACAACGTTACGAGGCGGACGGACATAGTACACAGCAAACACAAGCAGTAATATTATGCGCGCTCACGTATCTAGAAAAGATGCAAGTACGTTGTTTGTAGTCACGTAGCGACGGCATCACTAACGTTTGCGATACCAGCACCAGCAGTGGTAGACAAGTAAATTATGCCATACATGACTTCCATGTCATTAGTATGGAATAGAAGAATAAGCGAGCCTTGAATATCGATCGAAAGTCGATTGGGCGTGATGTATGCTACGTTACATGCAGCATTTGTCCGGCGTGATAATTATGACATGAATTAAAAGGAACTGATGTAGATGAAAAAATTAACTTGGCACATGTATCGACCGAACCCATACTACCTTCGGATAACGCGTCCGATGCCGAATCTCTAGTATTGAGCAACCGCGGTGATCGATTTCTCATTCCCATTATTGGGTATTAAGTGTTTGTAAACATGGGAGTGTGAGCCAGCGCCACTCGTAACCATGTAGGGATACTCAATAAAAAAGAAAGAAAGAAAGAAAAGAAAGAAAAAAGAAAGAAAGGAAGAAAAGAAAGAGAAAAGAAAGAAAGGAAGAACGAAACAAAGAAAGAAAGAAAGTAGCGAAGGTTAGTAGGTTGAGCGCACCTCTAGCGCCCTGGCGGGCGCCACCCATGTTGCCACACCCGAAGGTAGAGTGGTGGGGCACCCAAGTGAGGAGATGAAAGCTGCTTTAGACGACCGTGTGCCAGCTGAGCTGCGAGACGGGCGACGAACAACCGAGAGCAATCCACAGCGGAGTGGCCGGTGCCCGGAACTTAACGCAAACGAATGAATGAATGAATGAATGAATGAATGAGCTTTATTAGAAGTGTGGCGTTTTCTTGGGGCGAGGCGCGGGGAAAAAAGTATTAATCCCTGTCCCATCCCACCCACCGTCGATGATGATGGAGGTCATGTGTTGGCCAATAACGACGACGACTGTGGCCACGACTAAACGCAGTTCGGATATGCACGCAGTTTCAAGCGCGAATAGCCAAATTATGAGCACGTGCCTCAGACGAGATACAAACATGTTTTGCATTTGTTTATTTAACCGTTTGCAAAGGTAAAGGAAATCAGTATAACTGGATCCGTGCGAAATCTTGACACAGAAGGTGTTGCTTTTGGCGGGTTGTAAGTTGTCACCGATAGCCCCGTGAATGTGAAAACTGCAAACCTGCCGTTCCGCGGTAGATCATGGCTCTTCCTTCGATGCGCCCTCAAAAGGGGAATGTCCTGTCGTTGCAGTGGCGCGAATCTCATGCAGAGTTGACGTCTTCTCTCAGATCGCGAGTCAGAAGACAGCAGCTCAGACTTATTTTTTGTTATTGTCTGTTTCTTTTTTTTCGCCTGTGCGTTCTTTCAGGAAAAAAAAACGTGACTAGAATGAAGTGCTGGTCTCCCAGAAAAAAAAAGAAGATCGTGAGCGCGCGGCCACCCACTGACCATGCCGGCCAATGGCCGCCACGCGAGTGCTCCAGCGGCGCCACTGCGTGGCGTGAACACAGGTATACGAGCCCATAACTTAGCGGGATGCCGCCAAGAGCGTGCCACCAGCAGTGGCCGCTTCTAGTTAGCGAAGTCCATGGAGAGGCCCACGTGCGCTCACGCTGCGTCATACGTCGGCACTATAGCGCACTCCAGGAAGAGGTGTCTCTTCTTAAGTAGTTGCGATCGTCGTTGCCCTCTTGGCATTCCTGCTGAGACTCCCGTGGTGAGCGCATCATTGTACACATCGAGGCTCAGGGGTGTCCGAGGAGAGGATAGTATAACAGTATACTTCTTTCGCAATGTAAGGACTGTTTCTTAGCTTTACGTATACGGTCCACCTGTCAGCCTGTTTCTTCTTTGCTTCGTGTCTGAGTCGATACGAGGTTCCACGATGATGGATTGGAGCCTTGGTGTAGA